TTTACTGTTAGTTGTGAAACTGGGCTACTGGACTCCTTAGAAGGGAGTGGATGAAAATTATAGGGAGGCCCTATAAGTTTTCATCTAAGGCTTCCAAATGAGGACTCCATGGGCTGCTTTAGCCTTAAGCAGGAAATTAGGGTTTCCTCATGAATAACCTAGCATCTCTCAGCTATATAAAGACCTATTCACTCATGATTTTGTCCCATGTTTCCTAACCCTAGCATGGAAGAAATTATGGTGCAATTCCCTCCTCTCTCTTATCATCCACTTGTAAAGAGTGTTTGTAAGCCATTAGAGGTGTCACATTTGAGGCACTCGCTATCAAGAGTCAAGGATCTTCAAGGTTTCTTGTTATTACTACATGACAAGTAAGGTAAACATCAAAACCCCATTTATGTATGGATTTCAAATTATGTACTAGTTCCTAAGGTTTTGCTTTGGTATTCAAGGTTTCATGTTCAACTAGTGAAAACCTAAATCCAAAGCAATTATGGTTGCATGAATACATAGGATTTGTAGTTATGCTTAAAACTTGTGACAACCCGACAATTTTCGAATCGATGTAATGACCTAAAAAGTCAAGAATTGTAATCTCTTTTAATGTAATGAAATTTGCATCAAAATTTGAATGTTCAAAAGTCTTTATTAGGTTACATAAAATGATAAACATCGTATCAAGGGTTTCAAGAATATAAAGAACACTAAAAACCGAGTTATAACGAAGAAGTTATGAGCAATCTAAGAATCACAGTAAAAATTGGCAATAATGATAAGCGTAAAATGCGGAGTTTCAATACAATTATATTTAGCCTTAGGTATCTAAATGAAAGTTGTACATATCATTAGACCGTATGCGTATATAAAAGAACGTCCAAATCTAACTTCGGATGAGAAAGTTATGATTTTTCCAAGTTTCGAATATAGCAGCGAACAACTAAAATACTCAAAATAGAGATCGAGAGATTTTTAGCCGATACAACCTAAATGAGAATCGAAGATCTCAACAATAGTAGCACAAAAGAATAAATTCTGATGAGAACGGACCTCACATGAAGAAGTTATGTATTTTTAACGGACTTTTCGTGTCCCGCCACGTTAAAAATAAATAAAAATAAAAATAAAGTCAAAATTTGCTGACGGAGTCTAAACGAGAGTTTTAAAGCACAAGTTATGAGTTTTACACGTTTTCGGCACACAATCCGAGGCTGTCAGGTCACCACGACATGGCGAAGATGCCACGACGTGGTATTGTGATTGATGGGTGCCAACCGCTTCAGCAAACGTCTCGTCAACGGAAGAGGATAGAATCCCTTACCATGACGTGGTGACGTGTACCACGATGTGGCGCCCAAATTAGGGCTATAAATAGCAGCCGAAGGTGTTGGGTTCTAGTGCTCATTTCTTCTCTCTCTCTCTCTCTCTCTCTCTCTCTCTTGTGCTGAAGCTCTGCGTTTAAACCCCCCAAAGCCATCCCGAAGCCCCGATCTTCATATCTAAGTTCCGAGGGAATGTTTTTCGCTCTTGAGATTCCCGAGATTCCCAAGAATCCTGAGAAATTCAAATTTCCGTATCAGTTTTCGTTTCACCTTCTTTTGTCTATCAAGTGAGTTCATACCCTTATAGACTACACTTTCAAATGCTTTATAAATTCTTTTTATACACTTTTAAAGGGGGGGGGGGGGGATACTTGTAAACACACGCTTACTCTCATGTGGAAAACATTAAGATTTTACTACACTTATCTTTATATAACAAATCATACATGATTCATAACTATCATATGAAAACGTTCGCGTGCAACACTTATTCAATAACATTTTTTCCTTCAAGAGTAAAAACATCTTATACAAATATCAAACACTTTATTTATATGTTGGTGTATAATTTCAATAATCTTATTACAAATGTTATACTTACATACCAAGCTGATACTGCACTAGTGTTTATCATACAAACGAATCATACATTTGAGAAAAACTATAATAGGTATAGTTTACTAGATATTCAAGAGATTTTACATACTATGAGTACTATATCAGGGAAATACTTTCATATACAAGAACAAATGAACTTTTCATACATAAATCTATTTGATACTAAGTTTTGTGAGACATTCAACCTCTCGTACTTTCAAGTATGCATTTAAAGTCCTGTATTATATACCATAATTTCTTGTAGGGAGATCGTGATACTTGTGTATAGATCTATACGGGATTGACAATCCCACACCTAAACTGTTAGCTACAGTTAGACCGGAAGATCTAGGGTGACAAACATCATAAGATTCCAACGCCAAAAGAACGTTGTTACAGGCAGTCAGGGTCAATAGTACGGTTATAAAACTCACATGGAGTATTAAAAACATGTTGAATTACGGGGTTATCTAATGCCTTAATGATTCTTTTACATACATAAATCTTCTATTCTAGGCATGAAAAACACAATTGCATGAAAATCTTTGGAACTTTTTAACTACATTACACTTATGGAAAATTTTTGGAATTTCAAAAACAACATTCGAAACAGTCGGGTCTTAGTAGAAGACTACTTCTATACTAGTAGGAAATATGGGATTTTCTAGGAGTTTTCAAATATCTACAAACAAATTCATTTAAATTTATACAAACATTGACATTAAATACTTATGAACTCACCAGCTTAAATGCTAGTCTACTCTTTCAAATCTACTTGTATTTCTTAGGGATTCAATAATATAGGTAAACTTCCGCTTTTGGAGAAGTGATGCTAAGGCGTCAATTTTAAACTCATTTTGTCATCATATTGTAATTTGTTTTTGAAACAAGTATCATCCAACAATGTAACTCTTAAATTATATATATGATGGTTGTGTTTACTTTCTTTACTATGTATTTAACTGTTACGATACTACATGAAGTCATCCACCCTCGAACGATTCCGCTGTTCTGGTTAGGGGTGTGAAAAAACTCATCAGGTGACAGTATCGAAAAGTACATTAGCATATAAGTTAATGATTAGAAATGTAACCTTCGAATATTAGATGGATTCTACAGATCTTATCACAATGCTCGACTACTAACATCTCCTCCTTGTTCTTTCCACCTTGGAAAATTCTTCATGATATGTCCAATCTCCTTGCAGTCATAACATGCTCGGCCTTCATCTATTCCAGTTCCTAGATTTGGTGGGGTTATACATCTATTAGCAAGATGAAATTTCTTTCCGCGGTTGGTGCAGATCCAACAGGCTTCGGTATGACGATACCTACACTCATTGCATCTTAGACTACTTCCAATGGTAGTCCCTGCTAGGGTTTTCATAACCACAAATGCTTGAACCGCTTCCCGCTACTTTTCTGCTGGTTTCCTAGCCCTTTCTTTGGATTCCTTTCCAAATTTTCTTTTCCTATTATCCGCCATTAGGAGATTAGCCTTTTGGACCATTGTATTGCGACATATTTCTTGGTTCATCAGGCTGAAGGCTAGTCTCTTATTGCTATCATAGGTGGTTGGCTTTGAGGTGGTAAGTAAACCATAAATGGGTTGGTGCAAACCCTAAATGTACCTTTCTATCTTCTTATATTCCACAGTGACCCTTCTTGGATATAAAGTGGCAAGCTCTTTGCAATGTTTTGTATAAGCAGCAATGACAACTTCCTTCATCATCAAATTCCACAACTCCTATTCTAGATTCTGCATTTTTTTTTCGTGGGGCAGTATTCTTCAATCATAAGCTACTCCAACTCGTTCTAGACCATGACATTCACTACATTAATGCCCATGGTTTTCGTATAACTAGACAACCAACTTAGGGTGCGTCTGCTAGGTTATAATTGGGAAACTTCACCTTGCAGTCTTCCACACATAATCTTATCTCAAAGACAGACTCCATCTTCTCTATCCATCGAGTCAAACCAACTACACCTTTGTTTCCATGGAAGTACTTTGGTTTATAGTTCATAAAATCTTTATATTAACAAACCCTGGTTGGGCCGCGGTTATCTCCATGCGAACTCTCACCTCTATTACCTCCTGAACCTATGTTCATATTGGTTTCTAGATTTGTAATTGCATCAGCGATGCGCTGAGCCACTAAAGCCTCAATCGCAGTCGACTTCATTGATTCGGGAATGGATTATGGTTATCCTTGGTTTCTCCTTGTATGAGGCATGACTCTATATTTGTGGTATAAGTTAGTTGCTATGATATGTTTTGAGGTTTTCTTTGAAAATTTAGTTAAGAGAGTTAACTATATCATGAAAACAAATCAAACAAGGAACACAATATACAATAGGATCATATATAGATTTCCATTAGTTTTCACATAAGGATATCCCAAAAGTGTAAAATGATGTGGTGTGAATAAGAAAAGTATATAATTTACTTGCAAAATACATACCAGTATCCTATTATCTGCTATACTACTTTTCCCTCCTTTAAACCCAAATATATAGTTCCCATCTTTCCTAAATGGAACTATCTACCACATACCAAAATAAACCACTATCCAAGCCATTAATTGTCCCAAATGGTGTTGTAGGCAACTGATCATCACCTCCATAGTAATCACAATGATCTCTGACACTACCAACCTTAACTCTAAGTCCTTCATACGCAACTCTAAACCCTCAATTTCAATCTATTAAAACTGAACAAAAGAATGGGTCTCCTCCAGATGCTCATATACGTAGAGGATCCTCATATCATTTACATCCCTATCATGCTTTGAATCTCTAACTCTAATAGCTAGTAACTTGATCTCTCTCCTCACTAAATCACAATCCTCCTCTACCTAATGTACACGATCCCCGTGTCGTGTTACTCATGGAACTAACACTGAGATCACCCTATCCATGGGATCCTCTAGAATGAGATCTCGTGAAGATGCCTGGGAGGACTCTCCAACCTTGTAATACCAAATTCTATCCTCCCAAACCACTCGTCTACCTGTGGATTCCATTTGTTGGTGGGGTAAGGCTTATTTGATGACCTAGGCAATGCATTTTCTATTGGTGGTTATCATCCTAGGCCCCAAAGCATTATTATAAAAGGATCGACTAGAAGAAGGGGTAGTGGGTCAACAATCTCTAGGGACAGATCCAATTTAACAGTGTCCTCCTCCTGAGTCTCAGTATGCTCAACCGGGTCATCATGAGAAGATGAATTCGGATAAGGTAAGTTGTCTGCTTGTTCCCCACCAAACTCCCCCGTCATGCTGCTCATCCTACTCAGTGGGCTCTTATTCTTCTTCAAATGGCTTATCAAAATCGTTGGATCGTAGTCACTCTCTGTCTCTGGTGTGTGTGGCTCAACCTTGTCGTCTTTCGTGTAAGGATACAACACCTAAGCACATATGTCCTCCATATCACTACGATATCCTGTATAAGAAATCAAACAAGATGTTTTATGAGAGATAGTATAAAAATCATAAAATACATATAACTTTCTATTATAAGTATATAGTAGATAGTACATATCTCTAGTGATTCTCTATATGGGGAGTATGTCAGATACATCTCTCTAATTCGTATATCCTCAAGGTGTACCATTCCAAACTAAGTGTTGAATCCTTTCACAATAGGTCTTGATCTAAGACTCTAATCTTCGGAATACCGACTTAGGCTACCGATCCAAAGATCCTCAAGGTGCTGGCCTCAACCTAATATCTTAACTAATCGTACTAAGCTATCGATCCATAAATCCTTAAGTGTTTAGGTTTTCAACTACGACATCAAGGTTTAAATGTGTGTCGTTCCGACCATAATAAGACTTATTTATGCATTCTATGTCTTGTTATTGTGCGACCGCAGTACTGTACTAACCCTAGGATTCGTTTTTGGCCTAAAATCTTAAGGTGCGATTTAAATGGATGATCTTTATAATATGTAGGTATATTTATAAGAGTTTGTATAACTCTTTATTTGATTTAGTTTTTGATTAAGGTTATTTTATTAATTCTATGTTTTGTACTTCAAGACTATCAAGTAAGGATGAGCCATATGAGAAGTGACAGAGGGCATGACCATTTTAGCATATAGTCGTTCTGAAATCCAGCACCCTAAGTGAAAGTTCAAACCAGTCACCTCTCCCATAAGTAGTCTATCCATATGGTAATTAATAACAATATTTTTATTAGATTTAACTAATTTAGAGTACACCCCTAGGTTATAGTCGTAGTTTCTAAGGAATTACTAGTTCGCTAAAACCTGTAGCTCTGATACCAATCTGTCACACCCCTGGCCGGCAGCAAAAATGCCGAGCTGTGCGAGGTAGGGATATTGGATCGAGGAAAACATATATATATATATATATATATATATATATATATTATTGTGTGTGTGTGTGTATATATATATATATATATATATATATATATATCAAACATTACACATAAATATAACACAAAAGATACTTTTAGTCATTATATCTTATATGGGGTTACATTGTTCGATATATCAAGCACACATCCTAAACATAACTAGAATATAAACATACATAAATAAACTCCAACAAGCTTCCTTGACAACATCCTCCTTAATGTGACTATCCTGCACACTCGTCACCCTAATAATACATTTACTTTGAAAACGTTAACAAAATGTTGACGAGTTCACAAGTTTTTATAGTTTTCTATTTTATTTGATTGTTTTAGTTAAGAATCTTTGTTCTTTTAGAAAAACCTTTCTTTCCTTGTTTAATATATTTTCCTAATCATAACTTAAAAACTTTCTAGGATATTTTACTGATCCTAATTTATTATAATATCTTTTAGGATATTTTATCAATCCTAATCTATAATATTGACCACTCGAAGGTGTCCCTCTAGGTAGTTGGTTCCTTAAGCTTGTCAGATTTGTATTACCGTGTGCCTTCATAATCAACGTTGTGGACTAATATTTTCCCCGGATGACTCTTCATCGGACATCGAATAACGCTTTTACAAATAAAGAAAGTTATCATGTCAGGATTGTAGCTAGCAATCGTAGGGGTGGTGTCAGCCCGATATAGATCTATACATATCTTTATGGCTCTCGAAAAAATAACGATTATAGGTTTGGGGAAAGAAAATTTAATACAACTAAGGATGAATAGTAAAATCTCACTAATGCATTTAACCTTTGGTGTTTTATCTCTTCTTTAACTATTTTACTTAATAACTCTTATAGTTATCACTATATAATTCTTTTACTTTATATTTGATATTTATAATCTATGTATCTCATAATTATCTTTGTATGTGTTTGTGTGTGTGTGTATATATATATATATATATATATATATATATATATATATATATATATATATATATATATTTGAAAAAATACGAAAACAAATTTTATTTTATAAATATCAAACATATGTACTTTAGAAATTAAATCTATTAGCAATAAATTAAAGATAATAAGTTTAGATGGGATGATGTTATGGTAATATAGATTTAAAGGTGGTTTTAACAACCATTTTTTTTCATGTCCTTAACCACTTTCAAATTCAAGTTTTCATAATAAAAAAGTCAAAAAAACATGTTTTCTATATATTATATATATATATAATATATATATTATATATATATATATATATATATATATATATATAATATATATAATATATAAATATATATATATATATGTACACACACACTAAATATGGTTGATTTGAAAATATGATATTTGGGCAAAGTAACGACTAGGTATAATGTATATCGTTTTAATTGACCAGAATTACTTCTAGGTACTATATTATCCTTGAAAATTGGCCTGTATAAAATCTAGGTAAAATATTTTCCTAGACTATTGGTCATCTTAACTCTTAGGCATAATTTCATAGTTTACAATATGGGTATATCATCATAAGGTTTCACACTTTATATAACTATATATATATTATATATATATTATATATATATATATATTATATATATATTAACAGTTTGATAAGCATGTATCCCCCCCCCCCCCCATTAAAACCTTGAAAATAGTAAAATAGGGCCGTGAACTCACCCTTGGTGCATGACCGCTGATGTAAGGTTGAATCAGTATCAAGGCTTCAGGGATCGTTAGGGTAGCAACCACTTCCAGATTTGAGAGAGAGTTGTAAATGTGATGGATGCAGAAATGGAGCTGCAGTTCCTGCTATTTATAGGCATGGTTTTGGGGTGCATGCATAGCAAGGATGTGTGTGCGTTGCAGGTAATCATTGTGGCTCCATCCAGAAGTTACCACATGTCACTTCTCCACTTGGCCACGTCACTCGCAATCTACTCAAATCTGGAGTCAGGTTCGCGACGGGCATAGACGCAATTCTTTCGTGCAAGCTTCGATCTAAACATTCGTTATATCTATGTGATAATGTCAAAGATTACTGCAACTCTCCTTTCGGTTGTTTTAGCTAGTTTTGACGTTCATTTTTATGCCTAACAGGGGCAAAAATAAATGGTTTTACAAAAATTATATCTCTCTCATACAAATCTCGTTTTTGGCATTCTTTGTCCTAAAGTTTATATCTCAAGGAGTGCTACAAATATCCTTTTTGTTCTTTTAGTTAAAACTCAACCAATCTCTAAGTACCGTTTTGACATAATCTCTAAATATTATTAAAAGAGAAACCTTATGACATCATCTTAAACAATCTGGGCCATTGATTGTGTTTCAATCCTATGTTTTCTACCATTAGATCAAATTGCTGACATCATCTTCCCCAAATGGAATGTATTTAATTCTAATAAAACTTTCCAATTATCAAACAAAATTAACTTACATCCATTGAAATAGAATGTATATAATTCCAATAAAAGCTTTCAAGATTTTAAATATTGAATTTCCGGTTATAAAGATTTTTGTCACACCCCAAAACCGGAACGGCGGAAACGTTCTGGGGTGGATGACGTAATGTCAAGTATCACAACACATGCATTATAGTAATCAAAGTACAAAAACATTGCATTAATAGTAATAGTTTTACATGGTTTACATTACAATACATCAAAATAATACAAGTAATAATATAGGTGCAGCTTGGTACTAAACTGTCTTCGTCAAAAGCTCTGAGGATGTACCTGTCTAATGCTCACCTGAGAATACAAGTTATTTGAAAAGCGAGTATCAGCATTTTTACAAATGCTGGTGAGTTCATAAGTATTTAGTGTCATTTTATTCAAATAACTTTAATAAAAGTGGTAGTTTTAGAGTATCCATTAAATTAGTGTCTTTTCCAGAAAATCCTATATTTTCTTTAATAAAAGCAATCTTCTACCAAGACTGGACGGAGTTATGTGGTAAAAAGTAGTTTTCCCTTAATCGCTATCATTATCAAAATACAAAATTTGATTATTAAAGAAAGCAAGAGAAATCAGGGAAATAACATATGCCTTAGCAGTGAAGACTGCTGATTAAGGCAAAAGGAATCATACACTCCAAGAGAGTATCAAACAAACAACACGCCTGGCTCAGTCTAATCAAAGGGAGACACAGACCTCAGACGATACCAAATGAAAGATATGGCTAGCAAGGTCCAAAAACAGAGAATACAGACCCCAGACAATATCAAATGAAAGATACAGCTAGTAAGGTCTAAAACATAGAATACAGACCCCAGACAGTATCAAATGAAAGATACAGCTAGCAAGGTCCAAAAACAGTGTGACTCTGAGAGTAGGTTTCCAGCATACAGTGTAAAATATAGTGTAAAATACGGTTACCTTAAGACCATGAATTATAAGGTAACCTGGGATACTCGTAACCATACTAACCTACACTAGAGTACTTGATGCCCTGCAAGCGTCTATATAAACTATGACATTTGTCACCCCTTGGCTTGGTAGGCCGTGGATTGTAGCTAGCAGTCAGGGTGCGGGGGTGTCAACCCCGTATAGATTTATACACAAAATGTCCGCTCTCCCTACAGGAGGCTCTGGTTACCAACTAGACGACGAAGAAGGCCGTGTCCCGAAGATGCATCCCAAATAGTGGGTAGTGGGTTTCCAATATAAGTGTTGAACTAGTGGTAGAGACTTATAACTGAACTGACTAATGTAAACCTATATATCTTATGCTTGTATACATAATATATAACTAATGAATCAAATGACCTTCAGACGACCATCCAATCCCACCAGACCACATCTCAACGAAGAAAAGGAAATAGGGCGAACAAGCCTTCCTAAGTCCTTCAATCATTATTTATATGCACCTATACAAGCACAGACATACATCTAACTATGTTTGAGTGTTTAACACGTGGAGGTGGTTCTCTAAGTAGAGGCATCAATAAGTGGAGTGGAAGTAATAACAAGTGAAGTAGGAGTGTCTAACAAGTGAAATAGGAGTGTCAAATAAGTGTAAGCATATCATGATATAGAAGCGACAACAAGTGAAGTAAGAGCGTCTAACAGGTATAAGCGACTACAGGTATGAGCGAAATGGAGGCGATAACAAGTATAAACGCATCACGAAATGAAAGCATTATCAAGTAGGAGTTTAAACTAAGTAGAAGCGAAACAGTGGTATCTAACAAGTAAGATTATACAACATGAAAGAAAACCTTAATGAAA